AGAGAGATGGGGGAGGGGGGAGAGAGAGAAAGAGAGAGAAAGAAGGGGCAGGCAGGAAGGGGGAGAGAGAGAGACCGGCTTCTTCAGTTTCTCTACCCCACCATGTGATCTCTGCACATACTTGCTCTATTCCCAGTTTCCACCATGAGTGGAAGTAGCAGAGGGTCCTCAGCAGCTATAGCTATTCAATCTTAAACTCTTTAGTCACTGGAACTATGAGCCAAATAAACGTTTTTTCTTTATAAACTACCCAGCCTCAGGTATTCTGTTATAGCAACACAAAACGGACTAAGACAAAAGCCAATCATAAAGGGCCACATGAGTTCCTTTATATGAAAAGTTTAGAAGAGGCACATCTATAGAAATGGAAAAAAATCTATAAAGACAGAACCAGATTAGTGGTTGTCTGGGGCTGAGGGGAGTAAGGAACGGAGAGTGAGTGCTAATTGGGCATGGGTTTTCTTTTTGGGTGATAAATATGTTCTACAGTTAGACTATGGTGATGGATATATATGTGAATATACTAAAAGTCACTGAATTTGTACACTGTGAGAGAGTGAACTGTAAGGTATATAAATTATACTTCAATCAAGCTATTAAAAAAAGAGTAATACTCAAATCTCAGAAAACAAAACCTCCAGTATATCTAATACCAATCTGGGTATTATATTCACTTGGGGCACCATTCAGAAGAGACAGCACTTCCTGAAGAGGTGAGCTCAGGCTACAATATTCTCTATCTTAAATGCTTCATTTTCAAAACAAGAAGCAAACAGAGGTCCCCCATAACAGGTGTTTCCTTGCCCAAACACACCACAAGCTGGTCATGTACCCACTTCTCCACAGGGAACTCCAGTAATTAAATGAGAATGTAGGGAGAGCAATGCTGAGATTTTTCAACTTGTGAGAAAAAGGTCTGAGGAAATAACATCTGAAACCCTGGTAGGGAATTGCTGACCTCTGATGTCTCTTGGGCACTCATTGTGGCCCTGGTCACAGTTACTAACAGCTTTGGATGAGCTGGCATGTTTTATAAACTCATTGTCAAAATCAGTCTTCATGTTCTATTAGTCTGATTATGGTCCCAACTTCTCATTTCAATAAAGGGCCATTAAGAAGATTATATGCATGGAGAGAACCAGTCCCATTCCTAAAGACACTAAGAGCCCTAAAATGAAAGCAAGCTAGCTAACAACACATAGGAGAACACAGAAGAAGAGAGACAGGCATACCTCCCAGGGCGTACAGCAACTCCAGAGCTTGAACCATCGACTGTGCTGGAGGGGGCTGTAAAAACATAAATATCCTCCTCAATCAATGTCTCTCGGCAACAGACATAAAACATGACAATTTCCTGCTCAAATCCTCTCTCCTCTCTAACATGCCCAATGCTGCCCAGCCCCGTGCTTCTATCCATGGTGTTAGTGTCCCTTGAAATGTCCTTCCTGTCCTCAGCATCCCATGTACTACTTGACCTTTAAGGCTGAGCTTGATTAAACACTTCCCCTTGCAGCCTCCCTCACCCTCCCTCCATCAAAAGCTATGGGTCTCTAGTTTAAAACACTCCCGACTTTCCTTAAACTCTCCTGAGACATTTCTAATTTTTACTTCATAGTCTCAATTTTCTACCACACCAGGAACCCCAGGATTCTACAGCACTTGGGATGATTTACCCTTGCATCCAGAGTTCCACTCCTGTTATGAGATAACAGTACAGGAAAGCATGAATTAGGTTGTGAACAAAACTAACAAAGTCCTCTTTGACTCCTTTCAATCCCTGGTCCTATTTCTGGTCAATTATCATCAATAAAATAATAATAACCCTCTTCCCCACAAAAATCATATCCATAGTATTTTCATCTAAACACACTAAACAGTATTTCTCTATGACCTCAACCAATTTGGAATCATATGAAAACACTACCTTAATATATTTGGAATTACTGTGTGTGTAAAATTTCAATTTGTTCTTCTCACTATATGTTTTCTTGTATACACAGAACTTCACAGTAATGACTTGGAATAGCTGGACAACACTCCATGTTAGTCATACTCTATAAAGAAGTCAAGTTTCTTATTACTGGACAATTGAGTTGTTTCTAGTTTTTCATGATTGTAAATAACACTGCCAAATATGCAAAATTATATGTGCAGCCTATGATTTTAACTGTAAACAACAGACTTTGAAGAGGAAGTAACCAGAAAGTATGTGAAATAAATTTGTATGTATTTTTATTTTTCAGTTGTCCAAAATTTTTGTTGTGATTTTCATTATCTATATCTATAAATTTAATATAAAATAATGCTATAAGCATTGTCATATATGTAAGCTTTTTTCTTTTGAATTATTATTCTTATTCTTTTATCCCAGGCTGGAGTACAGTAGGGTGATGTCATAGCTCACTGTAGCCTTGACTTTCTGGACTCAAGTGATCCTCACACTTCAGCCTCCCAAGCAGCTGGTACTACGGGCGTACGCCACTATGCCTGGCTAATGTTTTTCTATTTTTTTTTTAGTTGGAGTCTCATTCTGTCACCCAAGCTATAGTGCAGTGGCACACTCATGACCACCGCAGACTCAACTTACTGGGCTGATCCTTCCACCTCATTCTTCCAAGTAGCAGGAACTACAGGCACATGCCAAAATACTCAGCTATTTTTTTTTTTAATTTATTGTAGAGGTCTTGCCCAAGTTGCCCAGGCTAGTCTTGAACCCCTGGGCTCAGGCAATCCTCTTGCCTCCGCCTCCCAAAGTGCTGGAATTATAGGCGTGAGCCAATGTGCCCAGCCTAATTTTTATATTTTTTGTAGAGCCAAAATCTCACTCTATTAGCCAAGATGGGCTTGAACTCCTGGCCTCAAGTAAATCTCCCACCTCTGTCTCCCAATGTGCTGAGATTACAGGCCACTGCACCTGGTCTAAATTTCTTTTCTATTCTTTTCTTTTTTCCAGGAGAAATGACCATGAGAAAAAAATAGCAGGCATGTCACCATGCCTGGCTAATTTTTTTTGTTTGTTTGTTTGAGTTGAAATCTCACTCCATCGCCCAGGCTAGAGTGTAGTGGCACGCTCACACAGCCACTCCAGCGTTGACCTGCTGGGCTCCGGCGGTCCTTCCGTCTCAGTCTTCCAAGTCGCCAGAACTACAGGCACGTGCTACCACGCCAGGCTAATTTTTTATTTATTGTAGAGACAAGGTCTCACCAAGTTACCCGGGCTGGTCTCAAACCCATGGACTCAGGCAATCCACTCGCCTCAGCCTCCCAAAGTGCTGGGACTATAGGCTGAGCCACGGAGTCCAGCTAGTCTTACTTTTAAATTTGCATATGATGTCCATCTTTTCTCTGCAATATACTGCACACCAGTAGTCAAAGGGTTCATTTCCTCTATTCTTATAATAAGCACACAATTATTTTCTTTTAGGGGGGCTGATATTTGTACATTCTGTTTTTTCACTAGCCTAGTATACCATGACACATGACATTAGGGACTTTATGATACAAGAATTCAGACTGATCACACCATATAACAATACACTTGGGATAGAACAAAGAGTCAAAATGCAAGTTCTCAAATCATAAAAATTCTAGAAGATACAAATGAATACTTACTAACTGACCTAAATATAACAAGCACCTCATAAGCACAAGAATACTCAAACAAATCATAAAGGCAAAGACCAAAATATTTTACTCAGGACATATTTAGAATGTCTACATATTAAAAACCAAACCAAAAAAAGTAAAAAACGAATACCAAAAAAAATTTTGCAAGAAGTACTAATGACAAAGTTTAATATCTTTAATGTTTTTTTATTAAAGATGTGAGGAACTCAGTTCTTTGCTTCTGTGATAGATCACTGAGTATGACAGAATGTCTTTAATATTAAAAGAACTCTTGACAATCACTAATAAACACTAAGTCGGTTAGGTGCAGTAGCTATACACAGCAGCTCACACCTGTAATCCCAGCATGTTGGGAGGCCAAAGCAGGATTACTTGAGCCCAGGATATCAAGACTAGCCTGGGCAAAAAAGCAAGACTTTGTCTTTACAAAAAAATAAAAAATTAACCTGGCATGATGACACATGCCTGTAGTCCCAGCTACTTGGGAGGCCAAGGCAGGATGATGACTTCAGTTCTGGAGGGCAAGGCTGCAGTGAGCCATGATAGTGCCACTGCACTCCAGCCTGGGCACAGAGTAAGACCCTAACTCAAAAAAAAAGAAAAGAAAAGAAAGCCCATGCTATAAGAGATAAAATAGACAAGGAGGACCTCATCAAACTGAAAAGCTTCTGCAAAGCAAAATAAACTATTAAGATAGTGGGGAGACAGTCCACAGAATGGGAAAAAATATTTGCCAACTATATATCTGACAAAGGTCTAACATCCAGGATCTATAAGGAACTCAAATGAGCTGAAAGGAAAAAAAACAAATAGTCCTATAAAAAATGGGCAAAAGATAAGAATAGACACTTCTCAAAAGAAGATATACAAGCAGCCAACAGATACATGAAAAAATGCTCAGTCTCACTAATTATCAAAGAAATGCAAATCAAAACCACACTGAGATACCACCTAACTCCAGACAGGATGGCCATAATTAATAACTCAAAAAACAACAGATGCTGATGCAGAGAAAAGGGAACGCTTTTACACTGTTGGTGGGAGTGTAAACTAATATAACCTCTGTGGAAACAGTGTGGCAACTTCTGAAGGACTCAAAAACCAGCCTTCCATATGACTCAGCAAACCCTCATCTAGAAATATACCTGGAGGAACTCAAATCATTCTACCAAAAAGATACCTGCATGCACATGTTTATTGCAGCACTATTCACAATAGCAAAAAACATTGAACCAGCCATGCTGCCCATCAAAAGTGGACTGAATTTAAAAATGTGGTACATACACATGATGGAATATTATGCAGCCATAAAGGACAAAATCATAGACTTCACAGCAACTTGGATGGATTTAGAGTCTATCATACTCAGCGATCTATCACAGAAGCAAACAACTGAGAACCACATGTTCTCACTTATAAGTGGACCCTGAACATTTATCATAATACTACATGAAAAAGATAGGCAGTAGCGGATCACTGCCAGGGAAAGAAGAGGAGCACATAACATTAATAAAGGTACCTGATCCCAAACCAGGTAAAGTGAGGACCGATGGGAGGTCCAAACTTCACCTGTATGATGACCACTTATGTACCTAACACTGAATTGTACCCCACATTTTAAAAATAGAAAATAAAAGAAAGCTGAGAGGAAACCTTAGATGTTCCCATTGAAATTAATGATAAAATACAAACATGCATGTTGTACAACTAAAAAACAAACAGAGTCTAACAGATAAATGGCTTAGCAACTCAGAAGAAATACAAGCTGGCCAATAAATGATGTGTCGTTTCTTAAATCTACCTTATAAGAAATAAACAATAAAAAAGTAAACATTCTATTTCTCTCTGACCCATAAAATTAGCAAACCTAAAAGAAAATAACATGGCATGATGGCATTCATGCACTGCTGGAGCTGACATCAATAAAGCTATCTGGCCATATAGCAAAGTCTAAAAGAGGACTATGGCCCTTTGACCCAATAGTTTCACTCCTTGAAACCTGTCTTAGGAAATCATCAGCCAAAGAGTCTTCCTACAGCTCTTCAAAGTCCTGGATTGCCCCAATTGTAATACTTTTGCACACAGGCCTATACACAGACTCACTATCATGGCACTCTCCATGGCTCCTGATCTGGTGAAATCGTACTTGGGTTTCAGGTTTCATCTCAGACATGACTGACTAGGCTAGGGACCTTTGTCTCTCAGAGCATGGGCGCACTGCTTACTTGTCTCTGTCTCCCAGCAGACAAGAACAGGAATTAAGAACGGGAATTGTGGTTGCCTTGTCTGGCTGTTTTCTTTTCCCCATGCCCTGCAAAGGGCCTAGCACAAAGTAGGCAAGAGCACATAACCTGAGTGGGGGAAAAAAAGATGGTACACCCACAACAATGCCCTGACATCTCCCCGTGAGCTCTCTAACTCCCTGAAGATCCAGATAGCAGGCAGGACTTACCGACATGAAGTGGAACCTGAGGACATTGTCGATTCCTAGCGCTTTCAGCTGTAGGATGACAGGTGCCAAATTGCTACGCTGCATCTCAGGAACAGTAGATTGAGGCAACTGGTCAAAGGCTTCCTCTGAGGATAGGAAATCAGAACTGTTTGGGATCAAATGTCACAATCAAATGTGATCATTATGCCAAGGAGGCAGTTTTTCTTCTCCACCTTGAACAAGAAGCTCTAGGATTCTAGGAGCAGATGCACATATTATGACAGCAAGTTGTTTTTATATTTAGGAAAAACCATTCTATTTTTTAAATACTTTAGCTAAATATATTGAAAAACACACCTTTAAAAGATTTTGTCTTTTTACTTTAGAATGTTGTCAAGTGATTTTTGTCAGCAAAACTTAAATTAAAGCAACAAGTACTTGCTGAATCACTTTCAGTGCCCAGTTACCATCATCTCTGCTTGGGGTAGAATAAGTCAAGGAGGCAAGAACAAATTCAAAATAAATCATAAAAATAGCAATCAAAATACAACATATAAACACATCTCATAAAGAGCAAAAATTGTCCAAACCTAACTTTTAAATCAATGAGCCAGGCACATCATCTGGCCTATCCCAACCAGAACCTGATGTGCCTCAAAGAGATTAATGAATGTTTACATACCCTACCAGGAACAAAAGGTGACCTTAAACAGGAAGAAGCATCACAGGACACAGAGATCCCAAAGTGGGAAGGGCAGGAAAGGGAGTGGGGAGCGGAAGAGACTTTGGGAGACCTTTTAATAAAAGTTAGGCAAAGAGGGCAGAGAAAAAAGAGGGTGGATGAGATTAAATCATTTTTGCATATATTCAAAAAGGTTATGGATTATACAGAAAATACTCCACCCACCAAATCCTCCCACAGCAGTCAACATTTCAACTGATGCACACCCTTCTTAAACAACACAAGGGTGGCCCAACTTCCATTTAGATCATAAAGCTTTAGCTAACTGAAAAAAAAAAAAAAAATGAACCAAAACAAAAGGGGTCATGAAGAAATAGCACTATCACTGAAGAACTTCAAAAAGATTTCCTTTGAGAAAAGAGACAACCAATATTCTGTGGACTGATTGATGTAAATTGTGTCTAACTGGAAGGCTATGGATGACAGACAACAGCAGAAAGTTCCAAATGGGACACTCCCTTTAGGTTCAAGAGCATTTTAACAGCGTTTTGGTAGGGTAACCACATTTTTCAAGCCTGCTGCTGACCAACGGAGAAACAAAGTTATCAGATAAGAGGACAATCCTGCTGAGAAGACACTCACAGGAAAAAGGTGTTTCCCAGGAGTCCAATGACACTCAAATTCTCTTGAAACTCAAGGGCATGAGGTACTGTAGGCAATCCCTTGAAAAGCTTCAGTGATACGCAGGTGACTGGGACCAAGACCAAAAACAGTGACCTCAGAAGAGGAACAGGCAAGGTCCAGTGAGTAGTCCCCAAAGAGTGATGGAGGCTCGGGGAAAAAAGAAACACAACTGCTGGAATAAGGCCTCCAATGGAGGTATATTTTGAGAGAGATTTGAAGGATAAGGAGGATCTGCTGGGCAGAGAAGCAGCAGCCCAAGGAAAAGGCATCAACACAGAAAAACAGAGGGCATGTCCAAGAATACAGTTCAGCTCGGAAACAGTGGGCAATGGGTACAGGTAGCTAGTGGGAGAAGATAAGCTGAGGACAAAGTCCTGGAAGACTCTACGAAACTAAAGCATCTGAGCAGGCAGCACCTGCTTCCACTAAACTGCTCATGTGAAGAAAGATCTTTTTCCCAATTCCACTTGCCTATCTTTAATTCGCATTCTATTACATGATTTCTTTGGTGCATGATATGACGTGGGCCATTTCTTTTTGAAAAGTAACTTGACAAGACAGGTGCATGGCTCATATCAGTGAGCTATGATCACACCACTGCACTCCAGCCTGGGCCACAGAGTGAGACCCTGTCAAGCAACTTGAGTTTCTTAAAAGTTAAACATAGAGGCCAGGCATGGTGGCTTATGTCTGTAATCCCAGCACTTTGGGAGGCTGAGAAGGGAGGACTGTTTGAGCCCAGGAGTTCATGAGCAGCCTGGGCAACACAGTGACATCTTATCTCTACAAAAAAAAAAGCAAAAAGTTAGCCACCTGCGGTGGCACACACCTATAGTCCCAGCTACTGGGAAGGCTAAGGCAGAAGAATCTCCTGAGCCTAGGAGATTAAGGCTGTAATGAACTGTGATCGTGCCACTGTACTCTAACCTGGGCAATGGAGTGAGATCCCAATTCAAAAAATAATAATAAATTGCATTAAAAATAAAAAGTTAAACATAGAATTACCACATCACCCAGTAATAACCAAACAAATTAAAGACAGATATTCAAGTACATGTACATACATGCTCATAGCAGTACTATTTATTCTCAAAGGGTAGACATGGCCCAAATGTCCAACAACTAACAATGATTAAACAAGTTGTAGTTCATATATTTATATATATACTGGACTATTATTCAATCATAAAAAGGAAATAAATACATGTAATAACATAGAAAACATTATGCTAAATAAAAGAAGCCAGACACAAAAGGCCTATTTATATAAAATATCCAAGATATAAATCCATAGAGAAGAACACAGACTGGTGATTTCTAGGGGCTGGAGGCCAGGAAGAATGAGGAGAAATGGCTTAATGAGTAAGGGGTTTTACTTTGGAGTGATGAAAAGTAGAAAGAGGTGGTTTCGTACCATACTAAAAATGTAGTAAATGCCACTAAACTGCTCACTGTAAAATGGTTAATTTTATGTTAAGTAAATTTCACATCAATAAATTATTTTTTAAAATAAAAAATACCTTGAAACTTTCTCTCCTTTGCATTGCAGAATGCCTTTGTCCCAATTCCCCATTTTCCACTCTAATTGTTCTTCTTTGTGTCTTCAGTGGTTGCCCTAATCTCTCTCGCCTTGGGTTCTGCCTATTCCCTCTCTTCCACGAATGTACCATACCCTCTTCTTTTCCTGAAAGTACTATACATTCCATGCCCACTGCCTGTTGCCCTGAAATCTAACCTCCCCTACCGCCCCTCACCTAGATAACTACTGGGCTCAAACACCCCAGTTGTGAAGTGCTCTCCTACTCCCCAGAAGGGTAACTGGCTGTCTGAAGAAAGCAGCTAAGATAGCTTCAGGAGGGAGTTGCCACTTGAGAGTGGATTTGAAGGATAAGGAGGATCTATTGGACAGAGGAAACAGTCCAAAGAAAAGCCTCTGCTCTCTTTACAGTGACACTATCATACCACCCTACAGTATATAACACAATATACCATAATATGCTGATGTGTGTGGGGGTCTGCCTCTACCAACAGACTGTTGGCCATGCGGTCACAGACCAGTTGACCTAGCCCCCGATCTCCAAGCTCTGGCACCATGCCTAGCATACAGTAGGTGCTATAAAAGCATTTGCTAAAAGAAAGAACAATGGGCCAGGCCTGGTAGCTCATGACTAATTCCAACACTTTGAGAGGTCAAAGTAAGAGGATTGCTTGAGCCCAGGTATTTAAGACCAGCTTGGGAAACGTATCGAAACCTCGTCTCTACAAAACAATTAGCCAGGCATGGTGGCAAGCACCTGTCATCCCAGTTACTTGGGAGGCTGAGGCAGAAGGATCATCTGAGCCCGGGAAGTAGAGGCTGCAGTGAGCTATGATACACCACTGCACTCCAGCCTGGGTCACAGAGTTAGATACTGACTCAAAAAAATAATAATAATAATTTTAAAAGAAAAAGGCAGCCATAAAAAAGAATGAAATCATGTCTGTTGCAGCAACATGGATGGAGCTGGAGATCATCACCCTAATTAAACTGACTCAAAAGCAGAAAACCAAACACCACATATTCTCACTCATATGTGGGAGTCAAACAGTCACAAAAATGGAAATAACAGACACTGGGGACACCAATGGGGGGTTAGCTTTCAGAAACTATCTACATTGCACAGTGTTCACCGTCTGGGGAATGCATCGCCTGAGACCCAATACCCACCACTACATAAAATGTCCATGTAACAAATATGCATGTGTACTCCCTGCATCTAAAACAAAAAGTAAAAAAAGAAGACAAACAAGAGGCAAGAGGCACATGAGAAAATGGTCAACATCACAACTTAGGTCTTAAATTTCTTTTAACAAGGTTTTATTGTTTTCAGTGTGCAAGTCTTATACTTCATTGTATAATTTATTTTTGGGTATTTTATTCATGTTGATTCTATAATAAGTGGAATAGTTTTCTTAATTTAATATTCAGATTGTTGGCCAGGAGCGGTGGCTCAAGCCTGTAATCCCAGCACTTTGGGAGGCAAAGGCAAGAAGACTGCCTGAGCCCGTGGGTTCAAGACCAGCCTGGGCAACATGGTAAGACCTCATCTCGACAATAAATCAAAAAATTAGCTGAGCATGGTAGCACGCGCCTATAATTCTGGCTACTTGGAAGGCTGAGGTAGAAGGATCGCCTGAGCCAGGAGGTCAAGGTTGCAGTGGCCAGGAGTGTGACACTGCACTCCAACTCAAAAAAAAAAAAAAATTCAGACTGTTCATTGCTAGTGTATGGAAATACAACTAATTTCTGTAAGCCGATCTTATATGTTACAACTTTACTAAACTTGTTTATTATTTTTCATTAGTTTCATATGTATTCTTTAGAATTTTCCATGTAAAACCATGACACCTGCAAATGGAGATATTTTGTTTTTTATTTTTCAATTTGCATGCTATTTATTTATCCTGCCTCCTTGCCTTCGCTCTATTTGGATTTTCTATATCTTCTTGAGTCAATTTTGGTTGTTTGTGTCTTTCTAGGAACTTGTCCATTTCACCAGGCTATCCAATTTTTGACATACACTGCCAATATCTTCTTGATGTATTTACTCTTATCATTATAAAATGTGCTTCTTTATTTTTAGTAACAATTTTTGTGTTAATGTCTATTATCACTGATATTAGCATAACCACCCCAACTCTCTTTTTAATCATTTGCATGGTATGTATTTTTTCATTCTTTCATTTTTATCCTATTTGTGTTTTTTAAGATAAAGTGAATATTTTGTATACTTGGAAAAAATAAAGAAAGAAAGAACAATGTCAAAGACTGAACAAAGACAATGGTAACCAGAAAGGAAAATAAATAAATAAGTGGCAGAGTTAAAACCCCTATACCTTCATCAGAGGCAGCTACAGCAAAAGAAAAAGAAAAAGAGAAAAACTCCTAGACCTGGTAAGTGAATGCAGATAGATACTGGACAGAGAAAGGAATTACAGTGACTTGGAAACTGAGGCCAGACAACTAGGGAAAACCTCGGTAGCATTCCCCACAAAAGAAAAGGGCTCAGAGAGAAAGAGCAGCTTTGGGCACATCACTATCTGTAGGTAAGGCTGTCTTCAAGCTGGAAAGAAAGCTCAAGGGCTGGGACAGTCTCCACCAGAATTTCATCCCACCCCTCAGAGCTTGGCACGGTGCGTGGCACAGAGCAAGGCTTCACCAACCATTTGTTTCCTGTGAATGACTCTCAGGATAGACACGCACCCTCATCTTAGCCCAGCAAATATGCTCTGATCCAGAGTTGTAAAAGGAATGCAATGTGAGGCCCCACAAAACCCGGGGACCTCAAATAAGAAAACAGCACACTAAGTCAAGGGAAAGACAAGAAAGACAGGACATGAGACACACAGTCCATGTTCCAGGTGACATGGCTACATGGCTACAGATGGGTCTGTGCCGAGATGTTAGGTTAGAGCAGGAGAGCAAACAGGTGGTGACTCATAGGCCAGCTTTGGCCAGTGGGAAGGAGTAGCAAAGAAATTCCATATGTAGCGTAAGGAAGGTGGTGGGGGCCAGGTTATACAGGGCCTTGTCAGGAGATCTGGGTTTTATGCTAATTTCTGCCATTAGCGGTAAAAAACTGCTATATTCTCCAACACCCAGACTGACCATGAGAAAGTAAAAAGTCCTTAAGGAAAGCCACACTGACCTGTATAAAGGCGGTAACATTTCCCTGAGCGGTTGCGACCACCACGTCCTGCTCGCTGGTTGGCTGATGCCTGGGACACAGGCACCACCACCAAGCATTCAATGGCTGTCCTGGGATTGTAGGCTCGGAGTTTCACAAAGCCACAGTCAATCACATATACAACACCACCGATTGTAATGGAGGTTTCTGCCACGTTGGTGGCCACTATCACCTAAGCTCCACACATAAAGAAAAGAACAGAAGTCATTTTATTCTTTTCACTTTTAGCAAACTCTTACAAGTCCTAAGAGATTGAACAATTATCTCCAATACATAATCTGTGAGAGGCAGTTTGGTCAGTTTGGTATACGAGAAAGAACAGTCTCTGGGCCACTATGAGACATCTGTGTCTTATTCCAAGTACACTAAGAGTGGTTGGGAGGGTTTTAAATAGCAGGGGACATGGATACAGAGCACTCAGAACTTTTTCAGGCACTTTATATTTGACAAATCATTTTGTAAGAATCACTTTATAAATAAACTTCCTAATATTTTTATGCTATAAAACTAGAAGTTATTATTGTTTATGTTTTACAGCTGCAAAAACCAAGACTTGGGTTAAGTAGCTCCCAGGGTACATGGTAACTCCCGGTGGGATCCAGGCCTCCCGATTGGTGGGCTACAATGAACGTTTGACTGGGCAGACCCAAGTGGCTCCATCCCAATAGCCAAGACGCTGAGGACTCTCTCCAAAGTGGTCTGAAATTGGAAGTGGACCCTCAGACTATCCCTTCTTTACTTTATTCTCTGCCACCTGTTGATAAGTAGCTGCTACCATCTAAGCTGACTTGAGGCCGTTCTGTGTATTGCGCATCTAATGGAGGGGAAAGGTAGAGTCAGGCCCAGGGGTCAATGAGCAGGAGGCAGACTAGCTGCCTGCTGGCTTCTTCAAACCCATGCTTTCCACCACACCCTTCCCCACTCCATTGCAAGGCTAAATATTTTCAAGCCACACCTTGAATTAATTGATTTAAACTTGGCTCTATAAGCAAACTGATAATTAAAACCCATGGTTTAGAAACCATTGGTAGTAACTTATCTATTGTTTCTGACTGACTGCAGTCCACTAAAACAGTCCCATTAGCCAAATCATTATGTCATGGGAAATACTGGGCAGGCAGAAGAGAAACAAAAGAAGTCACCTGCTCTAACAGTTACTGTCAGCGTGACCCTTCTGTGCAGCAGGCTTAGAAATCTTTGCAACATGTTATTTATTGTGTGCTTTTAAATCTACTACACAGAAACACGAACCTAAAACTCTAAAAGAAACCTTCTTGTTTAGTAAGTTTCACTTCAGTTAAAAAAAAAATCTTAGCCGGGCTTGGTGGCTCAGCCTGTAATCCCGCGCCTTTGGGAGGCTGAGGTGAGTGGATTGCCTGAGCCCGCGAGTTCAAGACCCGCCTGGGCAGGCGAAACCTCATCGCTACAATAAATCAAAAAAATCAGCCGGGCGTGGTAGCGCATGCCTGTAATTCCGGCTTCTCGGAAGGCTGAGGCGGAAGGATCGCCAGAGCCCAGCGGGTCGAGGCTGCGGTGGCCGGGAGCGGCCACTGCACTCCAGTCTGGGGGACAGAGTGAGACTCCAACTCATAAAAAAAAAAAAAAAAAAAAAAAATCTTTCCAGTACACAGCAAAGGGGTATAATGATTACAGACGCCTGCAAACACCCTTGGTCATCAGGATAATCTTACCTTTCTGACACTGCGAGACACCCTTTCAAACACTTTCATTTGCTCGAAGGAAGGCAGTCCTGCATACATGGGGAGAATTCGGAGGTGTCGCTTCATCCCAGCACGAGCTAGTGCTCGAGCCTGCTCAATTAGCATAGACACAACAGTTTCTACCTCTTCCTAAACCAAACCAAGAACCAAAGACACCAAGATCAATTTGAAGCATGCCATTTTATTATACTTACAGAAAATGAGAGGTAGGAAACAGGATTTTAATTTTGGTCAGATTCAAAAATTTCAGAACCATCATGTTCCATTCTGGGATGGTATTTAATCAAATGCTAATGAACAATGATGCCAACGGGGTGAAAATGTGCAGGTGTAATACTAATCACTAAGAACCTGTACTATCTGTAATGAAGTGTTCCCAATAAATACAAATAGTAACTATTTTACTCAGCTTATATGTACGGTGTCAAACAAGCATTTCAAGTTGTAGCATGTAAAATCGCTATTAGCTTCCCCCAAAAAGATTTCCAAACTGTGGGAAATGTTTGGCCCCGGAAAATATTATAGCTGGAAGGTATTTCTGAGCAATGCTGCCACCGTGAGTGAGTACTTGGGCTTGTTCAGTTGTTTTTCCAGTAACGTGGTCACTCTCCATCTCCAGGATGAGCTGTCAAGATGAAGAGGTGTGCAGCAGCAACATGCGTGCAACAAAATGTACCTAATGCTTTGGATAGATTCTTGTTAACAGGGAAAAGACTGTATCTAATGCAATGTTCAATTCTGGCAAACAAAATAGCCCATGAACTCAACTGCCTAACTGATTTTGGAACCAACTAATAAATTGAAAATACCTTTAAGTCTCTGCAGACAGAATAGGCAGGAGTTAACAACTCCCTGACAACCTGGTTGTAGATGAATGATATCAGAGCAAACAATTGTTTATGGAATTAAGTAACCAAAAAATACAACAGAACATGAAATAAGTGGCTGAGTCAAGTACAGGGTCTGTATTAATTCTGGTGCTGCCTTAACATGTCTCTTCACCACAGAGAAGTCCGACGGATTACCTGGCCAGTGAGAAATGCTAGTATGTCTCCATCTCCCTCTGTCTGGTGAATTTTCACCACAGTTTCCACAGTTGATTTGATATAATCTGGAACAGGACTGAAAAGACATAGGGGATGAATTCATCACTAGAATATGCTCATTAATTATAGTTCAACCTCCCTAATAATCTGCCAGCAAAGTCTCATGAAAGTTGGTGAGGGCCTGCCCAGCAGGTAATTAGTAATGGATAAATAAGATATTCACGTTTTTCCTTTTTTCAACTGCAGCATTCATGAATAATCCACATAATCCATGAAAAAAATCCATGATTTTCTATTTTACTTGCAAAGAAACAAAAATTATACATTCATGCATATAGATGTGCTATCTTTAGAATGCAAAGATGCCGGGGCTTGAAAAATCAGGGGCTGGATCAAGGGAGCGCTGATCCCATATGGCCCATTTTCCTTCCCAGCCACTGACCACAGGTATGGGTCAGGTGGTCAGAGTTAATGGGTGTACTCTCCAGCTAGAACAATTCAGAAATTAAGTCCACAACGCCCTGAATTTATCAGCCACTGGACCAGGTTCCTGGTCTTGGTTTGCCCAGTGACAAAGTACAGGTATTAGGATGGCCTCTTTCTTGCCCAAAGGAGTTCCTCTCAAAAATGCCAACCAGGTCTTCTCACTAAGGAAGTACAGCGGTGAGAACCAAATGACTCAAATCAACAATACTGCCCTCACTGACAGGCAGCCCTGTAGACTCCGGTTCTAAAAACTATCAAGTTCCCCTAAAACCTTTCACAACTTGGCTCTCTCCAACTGACTTGGCTCTCTCCAACTGAGCTACTGACCACAGTTTCATGGAAATTTGCATATCAGTGTTAAGAGTCTAAACTAAATTCAACAGTGATGCTGAGCAGGGTTCCCGAACATCCTATCAATAACAAGGAGACACAAAACATGCTACTCCTCATCCCCTTAGAGCTGCCAGCAGATGTAGTTCACTGTCATTCCACATCACAAGCCAAATTTTCTAATCACTATCTTCAAAAAATTTACTCATCATCAAACCTTTGTAGATAAAAGATATCCACCGGAAATGTTCGCCCTTCCACTGTAAGGATCACACATGTATCCCTGCTTGGGTCACTGGTTTCATTTTGATTAAAGAAATCCCGAAATTTCTAAAAAATAAAAATAAATCAATTTTTCATTTGTCTCAGAAGAAAAAGTTCACAGTAATTCATGGAAAGAAAAAAATAATATAAAACTGCAAAGACAAAGGAGGGATTAGATTTATGCAATGCAGATTATAGGTTGCAAAGTAATGTTTTAAATTCACAATATCCAGGCTGGACTCAGTGGCTCAGCCTGTAATCCCAGCGCTTTGGGAGACCGAGGTGTGTGGATTGCCTGAGTCCGCAGGTTTGAGACCCGCCTGGGCAACTTGGCAAGATCTCATCTCAACAATAAATCAAAAATGAGCCGGGCGTGGTAGCACACGCCTATAATTCCTGCTACTCGGAAGGCTGAGGCAGAAGGATTGCCAGAGTCCAGTGGGTCGAGGCTGCGGTGGCCAGGAGCAGCCACTGCACTCCAGTCTGGGTGATGGAGTGAGACTCCAACTCAAAAAAAAAAATAAAAATAAAATAAATTCACAATATCCTTTTTTTTTTTTTTTAATGAATCAGAGTCTCACTCTGTCACCCAGGCTGGAGTGCAGTGGTCAATCATAGCTCATCACTGCCTTGAATTCCCAGGCTCAGGCAATTCTTCCATCTCAGCCTCCAAAGCAGCTGGGACTACACACATGCACCACCATGCCTGGCTAATTTTTTTTTTTGTAGAGACTCACTATGTTGTCAAGGCTGATGTTGAACTCCTAGGCTCAAACAATCCACCCACCTCAGCCTCCCAAAGTGCAGGGATTGTAGGCATGAGTCACCATGCCTGGTCCATAAAATTCACATTATTCTTTTTTTTTTTTTTAAAGATGTGTGATACAATTCAGGGTTAAGTATACAAATGTTCATTATGCAGGTACCTTTGTTGAAGAGGTGTGCCCCTCTTCCCCTGGCAGTTTCCCTCAACTGCCAATCCCACTCCCCCTCCCCTGGCAGTTTTCCACTACTGCCAATCCCTTTCTTATAGTAGTATGATCATTGTTCAAGGTTTGTTTATGAGTGAGAAGATATGCTACTCTGTTCTTTTTTCTGTGATAGATCACTGAGTATGATCGACTCCAAATCCATCCAAGTTGCTTTGAAGTCCTTATATTTGTCCTTCTTGATGACTGTATAATATTCCATTGTGTCCATGTACCACATTTCTTTATCCAGTCCAGCTTTGATGGGCAACATGGTTGGTCCCATGTTTTTGTCATTGTAAATAGAGCTGCAACAAACATGTGTGTGTAGGTATCTTTTTTGTAGAATGGCCTGAGTAACCTGGGTATATTCCCAATAGGGAGATTGCTGAGTCATATGGAAGGTCAATTTCTAGTTCTTTCAGAAATCGCCACACTGTCTTCCAAAGAGGTTGTACTAGTTTGCATTCCCACCAGCAGTGTAGAAGCATCCTTTTTTCTCCACATTCTTGCCATCATCTGTTGTTTTATTAACAATGGTCATTCTTACTGGGATTAGGCGGTATCTCAATGTGGTTTTGATTTGCATTTCTCTGATGAGTGAGACTGAGCATTTTTTCATGTGTCTGTTGGCTGTCTGTATATCTTCTTTTGAGAAGTGTCTATTCATGTCTTTTGCCCACTTTGTAATGGGGTTGTTGGTTTTTTTTTCCTTTCAGCGTGTTTGAATTCCTTATAGATCCTAGATGTTAGGCCTTTGTCAGATATACAGTTGACAAACATTTTTTTCTGTGGCTGTCTCCCTGCTCTCTTGATGGTTTCTTTTGCTTTGCAGAAGCTCGTCAGTTTGATGAGGTCCCACTTGTCTATCTTATTTCTTATGATATGGGCACTCAGGGTTTTGACCAGGAACTGGTTGCCAGTTCCAACTTCTATAAGGATGTCTCCTGAATTTTCTAAGATTCTTATAGTTTAAGGTTTTACGTTTAGGTCTTTGATCCATTTAGAGTTAATTTTTGTGTATGGTGATAGGTAGGAGTCCTATTTCAATCTTCTGCAGGTGATCAGTCAGTTTTCCCAGCACTATTTACTGAACAGGTTCTCCTCTCCCCAGTGGTTGTTGTTGGAGTCTTTGTCGGACGAGTTGCTTGAGAAATTGAGGCTTTGCTTCCAGAATCTCTATCCTTTTCCATTGGTCTATATGCCTGTTCTTGTACCAATATCAGACGGTTTTGATTATTGTAGCCTTATAGTAAAGTTTGAAGAGTGGAAGTAAATTCACATTTTTCTAGTAAAGTTTGAGAGTGGAAGTAAATTCACATTTTTCTAAAAATTGGGAAATCATATTTCAATGACAGATTCTTTACTAAAGTTTAGATTAAAATAATAAGGGATAGATTTCAAAACTGCATTGGGTGATGCATATCATCTAACAAGTAGCTGTGGTACTATTTCTCTATTCCTACACCCTATATTTTATTTAACTGAAAATTAGGTCAAAATGTGATTCAAGTTCAATACAGGTTAAACCAGGTTGGGGTGTGGCTCTATCTGGAAAGCACAGATGTACTCACACAAGTTATCAATTTATAAAGGAAACTTTTCCTTTGGTGAACAATAGGTACGCACCTGGCACCACTGTTACTGGTTTTAGGCCACTTCAAGGAGGGGGTAGGGTCTTCTCCATCATCTCATACCCCACAGGAGTGGGTACAAGGCTTTGTATGGGGTAGGCCTTCGATCACACACTTCCCCAACAGTCCCACAGAATCCTGGTGGGATAAGAGGCTCATGGAAGTCTCTCCTGAAGAGGGAGTCACATTCTGTTCAAGGGCACTAGACCACCAGACTTGCAGCCTACAGGGAGGCCTAGCCTGAGAGCTTTGGCCAACGATGGAGGAAGGAAACACCATCAAAGAGTTCTTCTTGGGAAATCTGAATCCAAAACACACAGAGAAGCTGGGGTTGAGAAGAGCTGAGTAGCCAAACCGGCAGGTTAGTGAGCACCAGATGAGAAGTGGCTGATGTTGGCTATAGCAGAGACACGGCATGGCATCCTGTTCAGTGGCACGTTCCATCATTTGATCCTGAATGCCCTTCCTGTTCCCCAACAATAGCCCGGTTTCTCTCAGGCTCGGCTATGTCGCTGCAAAGCCTGTCTTTATTTCCCCATGTGCTTTTACAAAACATACCCATCCAGGTGCTAGAGACCACCAAGGCCAGGAGCTGCCCTGACGGACAGCATCATAAACAAAGTGAAGGACCCTAGAGGAGCAGTGGTGTGATCAGAGTTCACTGCAGCCTCAAAATCCTGTGCTAAGCGATCCTCCAACCCCAGCCCCCCTAGTACTTGAACACAGGTGCATGCCACCACATCCAGCTAATATTTTTCTTTCATTTTATAGAGACAGGATCTTGCTATCTTGCCCAGGTTGTACTTAAACTCCTAGCCTCAAGCAATCCTCCCACCCTGGCCTCCCAAAGTACTGGAATTATAGGTGTAAGCCACCTATAATCTCCTCTGCCCAGCCAGAGGAGTACTTCTGAAAGAATAAGTCAAATTTAACTACAAAATACCAGGATGCCACACATTAAAAGTTGTATCTGAGAAGAGTAAGTACAGCCAAAAAAGTCCGGCAAAAGAAGTATTTTTGTGCTATTGCAGAATGCGACATGGCACCCCTCTGAATATTCTCTTGGGTAGATTCCCTTTTAATCTCTTCAGCCTTCCTGAGTCCCTATGAAATGCACAGTGCAGGTACACTAGAAGATATGCGCAAACAAATAAGAACAGACTGCCCACACCCCAAAAGATTAAACAGTCCAAGGAAAACAGAAGTGCAAAGAACTGATCATAAAATAAATGCTGAGGGGACAGGCACAGTGGGTCACATCTGTAATTCTAACACTTTGGGAGGTGAGGCAGGAGGACTACCTGAAGCCAGGAATTCAAGACCAGCCTAGGCAGCATAACAAGACCCCATCTCTACAAAAAATGCAGCATAACAAGACCCCATCTCTACAAAAAAACTTTTAAAATTTTTAAAAAATAACTAAATAAGGAAACTCTGAGAGAGATTGACAATATGACTAGAAATGAGCTGCAGATTACAGTCTAAGAGAATGAAAGATCAGTAATTACCGGCTTTCAGGGAAGACTTCATGGAAGAGGCAGTAACTCTTGACTGGACCTTAAAGTATGAGGATTAATACTGATTGGGGAAGGGAAGAGACATTCCTTCCCAGAATGACAGCAGAATAGACAAAAATGTAAAGGGGTCCCTGACAGAGGATAGAGCCCAAGCCTACCTCATCTGAGTCAGCCCTCTTACCTACAAAATGGACAGACTGCTATCCTCCCTGTAAGGTCACTGTGAGGTTCAAATAGTGTGTGTGACAGCCCTTGGCACAGGTCTAGCCTAAAACGGCACTCATTATGTGATCATAGTTATCACTCTAAAGGGGCCTGAATGCCCTGCTTCACTGGCACTTAATCTGTGGGCAAGATAAGGGCAGTGAGGATGGGCATGATGTTATCAGACTTGAGTTCTAGATCCCAGACTCCAGTGGCTGTTCTAGAGAAGGGCAGCAGAGATAAGCTATCATAGCCAAGCAAAATAACCAAGGACGATATTAGAGTACCATGGGAGAGAGAGCAAAGCGTAAACTCTGGCAAAGTATTCCAGAGGTACAACTGATGGGACCCACCAACCTACAAGTGTGTACACACACATGGAATGTTCAAGAGAAGGATGGCATTACCTCTTACTCAATCAGGGATTAAAAACTTCCTAAGCATTCAGTCTTGGGCCTGAATGACTATGATCATGAGAAAGGGACTGAGCTAGAGAACCCAGGAGTCACAGGTTTATGAGTTTAGGTGGCCCATGACTAGCTAGCTGCTGGAAGCTAAGGCCAGCATGCAGGAGTACAGTTAAGACTACCCCAAGCACAAAGTATCAGCTAAATCAGGGGACTTGGAGGTTGGTAGTCTTAAGAAAGAGCAGCTAGTGAAGAAGTCCAAGAGGAAGACATCAAGGAGATGAGAGAGACAGGAGATGGCAGGGCTCCAGACACTCGGGGGGAAGGAGGAGGAGGAGGAAGATTTTAAGAAGGATTTGGTAATCCCAGCACTTTGGGAGGCCAAGGTAGGAGAATTAATTGAGGTCAAGAGTTCAAAACCAGCCTGGACAACAAAGTGAGACCTGGTCTCAACAAAAAAAAAAAAATTGAAAAATTAGCTGGGCGTGGTGGTACACACTTATAGTCTCAGCTACTCAGGAGGATCTCTTGAGCCCAGGACATTGAGGCTGCAGTAAGCCATGATGGTGCCACTGCATTCCAACCTGGAAAATGGAGTAAAACTTTGTCTCCAAAAAAAAAAAAAAAAGAAGGGCTTGGTGAACAGAGTTGAAAGTTACCAAAAAGGCAAGTGAGCAGGACAGGAAGGAAGATGATGCCTTGATAATTTTGGTGGAGTGGATAGCTAAACCTTAGCTGTTACAGAATATGTGGTGCTGTATAGGAAAGACAGGGAGTAACTCTTTCAACAGTTAAAACTCAGCATTAGCTGGGCTTGGTGGCTCAGCCTGTAATCCCGTGCCTTGGGAGGCTGAGGTGAGTGAATTGCCTGAGCCCATGGATTCAAGACCTGCCTGGGCAACTTGGT